CTCCGCTTAAACCCTTCAAACCTAAACCGAAATCTGAACCATGGCTCAACGTGGATATTCGGCGATTAAGACAAGCTAGCAGAAAGGCTGAGCGCAAATGGAAGAAGGACAAGCTACATTTTGTCTGTCGTCCTACCAGAATGCTGTAAAGGCTGCTAAAGCTGCACACTTCTCTGACATGATAATGGCAAACCACTCTAGACCAAAGGTTTTATTTTCTGTTATAAACTCGGTAAATGTAATAAATGGTGTTTCGGATGAGCTATGTCAACGTTTCTTGAGATTTTTTATTGACAAAATATCTAACTTGAGATGCAATGCCAGCCGCTTTGCAACTAGCCAGTTGATGAGTTCTGTTACCTGGGATGCTTTTGAGCCAATCACTCTGAATCTCCTCAAAGAAATTATCACTAAGATGAAACCTTCGTACTGCTCTCTTGACATCATCTCTTCTAAGTTTCTTAAATGAATTTAGGGCCAGGATTGGTGTCCTTTGTTAATAAGTGCTGCCTTACCGGCTCTATCCCTGCTGTCCCTAAGGAGGCCACTGTCACTTCGTTACTCAAGAAGCCTTCACTGGATCCTGCCGTGTTAAATAACTTCCGTCCTATCTCTGTTTTGCCTTTTGTCTCTAAGGTGTTATAAAAAGTTGTTCTTGACCAACTCCAGCTCTTGCTAAAATGCAATGATATTTCAAAAAAATTTCAATCTGGTTTTAAGTCTGCTCACAGTACTGAATCTGCTCTGCTGAGAGTTTTAGGGCCGGTTCACATATCGCGTCTTTTGCGCGCTCAAGTTTGTTATTTCAAATGTAGGCCTCATAATGGAAGCGGTGCGGTCGCGGTGCGACGCGCTCGTTTTTCCCATGCGCGTCCGCGCCGCGTCGAGATAAAAACATCTCAACTTTTCAGAATACCGCAAGCGCACCATACGCACACAATAGGTCATGTGACAAGAACCAACTGAAGTGCAACCGCCCTGGCGCTTTGCAAAATAGAGTATGCGGCGCGCCCAGCGTTTTCTACGCGTTTTTAGGCACTATATGTGAATCCGGCCTTAAATGACATCTATCGTTCCACTGACACTGGCGACTCTGTGGCTCTTGTTCTTCTGGATCTGTCGGCAGCTTTTGGTACAATCGACCACTCTATCCTGATATCCAGACTAGAATGTGATGTGGGGCTAAAAGGTATCGTCCTCCAGTGGTTCCAGTCTTATCTCCCGGGTCGTACTTGCTCTTCGTCTGTTGCGCATCTAACCTGTGGCCTTCCTCAAGGATATATCTTAGCGCCTTCTCTCTTTTCCCACTACATGTTACCACTGGGCACCATTCTAAGAAGACATGGGGCATCTTTTCACTGTTATGCAGACGACAGCCAATTGTATGTTCCAATCAAGAGAAATGACCCCTCTGCCCTTTCATCATTTTTAGGCTGTCTAGATGAAGTTAAATTTTGGCTGGACCAAATTTTTTTGTTTTTAAATGAAAACAAAACAGAGATCATTGTTTTCGGGTTCACTGTTAACCCCCAGGCTGCTACCTTCGACCTAGGCAGACTAGCGCCGTTTAGATCTTCAAGTGTACGGAACCTGGGCATTCTACTGGATGAGTCTTTAAATTTTGATAAACAAATCTCCTCTTTAATAAGATCTAGTTTTTATAACCTGCGTCTCTTGTCAAAAGTCAAACCTTTTCTTAATCCTAAAACTCTGAGATGGCTGTTCATGCTTTTATCACCACACGTGTCAATTACTGCAATTCACTTTACCGCGGTATCTCGAAAACTCAAACTGCTCGTCTGCAATTGTTTATTTTGGTTGTGAGTGGTGGTTGTACCCAATTGTTTTTGTGGTTCAGATTTCAGAGTCCAGGCTGCCTAGAGACGCGTTTTTTTTTTTTTTTGTTTTTTTTTTTACAGCATTCTTATGGGGCGGGCAGCTAGCGAATCGTTAGGAAAAATTAGATGAATGTGATCGTTTATTTTTGGGCCTGAAATCACTGATACAGCCTTTAAGAGTCAAAACTAAACACACATCAATCAGAAACATCAATAGATAGATTAAAGTGCCCGAATCAGTTTAATGAGTTTTGGAACAATGGATCCACAGAGAAATGAAGCAATAGGTCGAGGATTTGGGGGAGGAGGAAGAGAAGGATAAGTGGCAAGAGGAAGGGGACAAGAAATTCAAGCCAATTTAGTTGACCATGTCCTTGCCCATGGTGTGACTATGAGGGAGGCTGGGTAACGAGTAAGGCAAAATTTGAGTCGCTTCACCATCAGATCATCAGAACCTTCAGGGAAGTGTGGTGGCAAACACATTTCTATCACTGGTTTATGTTCTTGCAAGAAAAGGTCAGCAGTCGCACAGTCACACAGATCGGCTGCAGAGTGTGACAGTGAAGGGAGGGCATCCTTTCTCCTTTATAGTCTTGACTCCCAGAATGTTATCTTTCTAGGCCAATGATGGTACTTCAACCATACGTTGAACATTCTCAGACTAGTTCATCATATTGTATCCTTGAGTGGAGGCCCTCCTGTCATGACCAAAACTTTGAATAAGGTTTGTGTGTGCTCTTTTACCGTCATGTGATGCTCACACACATCTTACATAAGTAAATATAAAACAATTTTATGAAAAAACAGAAATAATGACATTATTCAACTATTCGTTTTCTTCTATGTGGGCCTCAGAGTGAGTTCGAGTAGTGTAACAGCGCAGCACTACGTCAAAACGTAGGCTCACTATTGGCTGACGCTGGTCATGTTTAAGATGCTGGCCAATAGAGAGCCTATGTTCTATTTCAATTACAATAGAAGTCTATGGAGGAGTGATCCAGCTCTCAGATTTCATCAAAAAATATCTTAATTTGTGTTCCGAAAATCGAAAGTCTTACGGGGTTGGAACAACATGAGGGTGAGTAATTACTGAGTAATTACATTTTTGGGTGAACTAACCCTTTAAGACATAACCGGGGATGTTTACAAGGATGCTCGCCAACAGGAAAGAGCTCAATTCCGTATTTGCACGCTGTCTAAAACACAGATTTCTGGACAGTCGCTTCAGATGTTTACAGACAGAAAACTTCCCACACAGCGAGTAATGAATTGAGCCCCCTATCGCGTCTTCTTGCGATTAAATATTTAAATTGGCATGGACTCAACTGAAAAAAAAAAAAAAAGATTTCCACATCAAAGAATGTGGAGCCTCAGAGCACACCTATAACTATTATGTACTCTAGGACCAATTGGTAGTTCAAATGTGTTTAACGGCTGGAGCCAACTTTTTCCGAGAAAAAGTTGTTTCAAACTCCCGAAATCAACTTTGTTTGAGCCTGATTTTGATGCCACATGTCCATTCTTTGATTTTGGTTGAGCTATATTAGTGTAGATGAACTAAATCTGGCACGCTAGCTTTGTTATGTGACCTTATTTCAGTCATTTAGAAGTCCAGAAATGTGGGTAAATTGGACACATTTTGAAATGAAAAGGGGGTTAAAGAAAAGTATTTTGGTGCGAGGTGTAAAGTCATTGCTTGTATTGTGGGAACACCACATACATTATGGTGTATGTACCAGAAAAGTTAATCCGGCATTCTTTTTACCAAGTTTTATGTGTGAAAGCAGCTAGTGACTGAGTGTAATAAAGTACCAATTATACCGCAAAGGTGGCACAGAAGCGGTTCTGAAGTTGCATTTATTTGTAGGTGTCTTTCACAGACTAATTAAAGCTACTTAGATTTGGTATAAAGGCATTTACACAATGATTAAAACTATGGTTCAGAATAGGCATGATTTAGTCTGACCTGAAATGGAAATGCAGCATTGTGTCTTTACACTGAATTTTGAGCAGGCACAGGGCAGGCTTAACTCTGTAGTGTAAAGATGCCTATAGTGCACACTACTGAGGAGTTTGTCAATTAATGAACCATTCAGTGTGTTAAATAACGGTGACATCCAAAATGAGTAGGTTGGGAAACTGCTTAAACAAGAGAATTCTCATCGTATTTATTTGGAACTTTGGGAAACTAATTTGGAACTATGGGAGACTCATTTGGAACTATGGGGGGGGGGCTCATTTGGAACTATGGGGGACTCATTTGGAACTATGGGGGACTCATTTGGGACTATGGGAACTTATTTGGAACTATGGGGGACTCATTTGGAACTATGGGAACTCATTTGGAAATATGGGGGACTCATTTGGAACTGTGAGAACTCATTTGGAACTATGGGGGACTCATTTGGAACTATGGGAACTCATTTGGAACTATGGGGGACTCATTTGGAACTATGGGGGGCTCATTTGGAACTATGGGAACTCATTTGGAAATATGGGGGACTCATTTGGAACTATGAGAACTCATTTGGAACTATGGGGGACTCATTTGGAACTATGGGAACTCATTTGGAACTATGGAGGACTCATTTGGAACTATAAGAACTCATTTGGAACTATGGAAACTTATTTGGAACTATGGGAACTCATTTGGAACCATGGGGGACTCATTTGGAACTATGGGAACTCATTTGGAACTATGGGGGACTCATTTGGAACTATCGGAACTTATTTGGAACTATGGAAACTCACTTGGAACTATGGTGGACTCATTTGGAACTATAATAACTCATTTGGAACTATGGGGGACTCATTTGGAACTATGGGAACTCATTTGGAACTATGGGGGACTCATTTGGAACTATCGGAACTTATTTGGAACTATGAGGGACTCATTTGGAACTATGGGAACTCATTTGGAACTATCGGAACTTATTTGGAACTATGAGGGACTCATTTGGAACTATCGGAACTTATTTGGAACTATGAGGGACTCATTTGGAACTATGGGAACTCATTTGGAACTATGGGAACTTATTTGGAACTACTGGGGACTCATTTGGAACTATGGGAACTCATTTGGAACTATAAGAACTCATTTGGAACTATGGGGGACTCAAATGGAACTTTTTATTTTTCATGTGAAGTGGTCTAGGCACTCACTCTTTTCCTCAGGTTGTAGGTTAACACCAGATTGCGTGAGAAGTGGCCGGCGAAGGCTGAGTAGAATTCCAGAACCTTCTGTAAGGCATCCCGCTTGATGATGTGAAGATCGCAGTAGGTCAGTGCACGAACGTTGGCACAAGCCTGAGCTAAATTCACCTCTTTCCAGAACACATCCCCGAACACGTCTCCCTTTCCTGAGAGGAAAAAAGAGAGGGGGACATTGAAAAATGAATTCCATTAGGCTTTCTAATAGTTTCAGGGGAATGTCCCGGATTCGTGTATGAAGGTGCAAATTTTCATGGATCACAGGGAACTCAATATGCACTAAAACTGGTCAGGTTGAGAATGTCATTTCAGGGGAACATTCATGCATATAAATAAGATCCACTGTAAAGTAAATCAGTAAAGTTATGGTCACACAAAAACATGCAGATTTTGCAATGGGTTGAAGCAGTGGTGGATCTAGAGATTTTTTCCTGGGGTTGCAAAGGGGTGGCATGAGGTTTCAGGAGGGGGGCCATGGACATTATTCATAATTTAAAATGCTACAGTTTTCATTGAATGTGTTTTGTTCTTTTCACTAGTGGGAGTCAAATCAGAGATGTAAGTGGGTTTTTGGATGGTGTGGGTCATAATTTGTGAATTGTAGACCCTTTCTCTGTGTTATCACTATCAACAGTCTCTGTAGTCTATACTTAAATTGTATTTTGTGAAAAAGCAATTCTAGGGGTGTTTGGGGGTATGCTCCCCAGGAGAGAGAGACCATGTCGTACAATTCCAATTCATCTCCATTGAATCTTAATCCTTATTAAAATGTAAATACTTTGACTAGATACATACTAGTGTGCATTTTTTTTACTAACAATGCTGCAGAGCCATGAACAGCTGTTAGCACATGTTAATGTTTATGTTATCTCTAGTTGATCATGATTTTTGCAAGTTTGGTCATGGCACTGATACATTGTAAAATACCAGTCTTCAATAAATGGACAATTTTGTACCAAGTCTGCCAAATTTCTGCTGGTTGAAGACTTCGGTGGTGTTGAGATGTGGAACAGTGGAATTTTTGTTTTTAGCAAAATCTGTTTTCTCAATGTATGCTCACATAGATAGTGTATTTTAATATCATATCATATAATATAGCCAAATAATATATGTCCAATAAAGCTGTTTTCATTTCCTATATTATTTTTTCAGACAATAGAACAAGTGGCTATGATAAAGTAAATGACAAAATTTTGTATGTTAAAAATATCTCTAAGCACTAAGTAATAATCTAATCTACGTAATTAGGACAAGGGGGAAAAAAGGAAAATAAAATGGTCAAACTAAATTCTTTAAATATAAAACAAAAGAGAAGCAGATAAGCGATAAGTCCGTGAAATTCCCCTCGGCCATTCACTGAACAGAGGAGATGCAGAGAGAGATCGACGGCAGGTAGAAAGCAAGACCTCGCACTCGCAGGATAGTAGTACTGGTAACATTTGGAGGTTACTGAGCTTTGTTTAAAAAAGTTGCTAGATTTGTCGCTAGACGCTTTTAAAAAAAAACGTTGCTATTGCGGTCAGAAAAGTCGGTAAATATAGCGATAAATGCGCTAAGTTGGCAACACTGTTTGCTGGCGTGACTGGTGAAATTTCGCGGGGGTCACTGACGTGCTGACGTGTAATATCATCCGAGGACCTTTTCGCGCCGAGTCGAAGTGCTCCCAATCATTTGCTGTGGTATTCCGCCATACATTATAGTTCTCCACTTTACACGCTTAGAAAAGTGCAACGTTTTATTTTGAGTCATCGTCCTAGGTCGAGTTACACTGCTCGAGTAACTGTATTAAATAGGGAAAACGTGGAGGTGTTTGGTCGCTTCTCTGCTTGGCCCATATTGAATGAACTGGGCTAGTTAAGTGCGATCAAAGTGTCTCGTGCGCCAGATTGAGCGCATGCACTGAGACGACAGAGGTATGCATCAACTCGTCTTAGTTAAGGGAATAACATAGTTTAATATGAAAAAACAGTGGAGTATCCCTTTAACTCTTTAAAATACATTGACGCTTCACGGTGAAGCAGATCTCATCCCCACAGACGCCTCTGCTTTTTTTTTAACCCTGCAATGACAGATTTACACCTCCAGTGAAATGACACACTCTTCTAGAGACCTGCTGTCCCGCAGGGGCTGCAGTGCAAATATTTATCTCAGCGTAATACTGGAATCTGCTGTGCAGAGAGGTTCTCATGCTGCCTTAAGAAATAATAACAGCGATGCTTGCCTTACCAAATGCCTCTGATAAGCCAATGCTTGACCTTATTTAATCTTCCTAACCCATTCAAAAACTGACACAATGCATTTCGACCGGTTGACCAGGTAGAATGTGAGCTTTTAAAACAGTCATAACTTATTTTTTTAAGTTAAAACCATGTTGTATCTTATCAACAACTTCTCAATAATTAATTCATGTGCTGAAATTTAAGTCACACTTCATATTAGGGGTCTTTAACTACTATATAGTCACATTAAAAAAATTGTAAGTACATTGTGTTATTGTGTGGTGTGGTGGTATGGGTTGATTCAAGGGTTGGTTAAAGTCAACAGTGTAATTATAGATAGAATTAAATAAGTTAATTGCAGTTATTTTTTAAATATAAGTACAAGGTAAAAACAATGTAGTACAATAAATGTTGGATGTTACCGTGTAATTACCATGTTATTACTACATTAACCTTTTTATAAATTAAATAGTTCTCTTTTTGTCAAACTAGTTGGTCTGTGAACTTTTGCTCAGGAGTAATTTCAAAGGTTTTCACCCGCTGCTTGATAACAAATGGACAAAATTTCACAGATCCTGTCAGGCAACACTTACACAGGCACAATCAGCCTAGACATGAGATTAACTGAAAGTCATGAAGCAGAACCCAAGAGAGATAGTGACCTGGAAGTACACTGAGATAGCGAGACCACTTCAGCCATCTGACAGAGCATCCCTGGCTCAAGTAAAGCTAAATAATACACTAAACCGAAGGCAAAATCATTTGATTATTCAAAGATTCATTTAAATAGTGCGTATTTTACATCTTAAAATTTGGTATCTCAGAAAAATCGCAGACATCACACTTGTTTCCTATTGTGGAATTGAAAAGGGAAATGTTCATCTCATCTGAAAAGGACTTCAGGGATATCCAGATTTTGAGATATGATTAAAACAATGGAACTGCATCTTTTTTTCAGGTGGAGACTGGAACTAAATATTGACGTTTGGTTCAGTAAACAGTTCTTGTGTCGAACATCTGTTGATAAGCACAGAACACTGTGCTAAAATGCTGTGACAGCAGCATTATTCACGTTATCATGTCATAGTCATGTAAACACATTATTTTATCTGAGTCTGTTTAAGAAAAACTCACCACATGACATGTAGATGTTTGCCCATTACCCTGATTCCTGAATCCAGGACATCACATTGAAGGATTTTTTTAAAGAATTTATTTGTCAATTATAGTGGAAAATAAGTATTCAATAAGTTCAACTCAATACTTTGTAACATAACTTTTGTTGGCAATGACAGAGGTCAAACATTTCCTGTAAGTCTTCACCAGGTTTGCACACACTATAGCTGGTAATTTAGCCCATTCCTCCATGCAGATCTCCTCTAAAACAGTGATGATTCGGAGCTGTCACTGGGCAACACGGACTCCACAAATTTTCTATGGGGTTCAGGTCTGGCTAGGCCACTCCAGGACCTTGAAATGCTTTTTTACGGAGCCACTCCTTCGTTGCCCAGGTGGTGTGTTTGGGATCATTGTCATGCTGGAAGATCCAGCCACGTTTCATCTTCAAGGCTCTCACTGATGGAAGTAGGTTTTGGCTTAAAATCTCACGATACATGGCCCCGTTCATTCTTCCTTCATCACGGATCAGTTTTCCTTTCCCCTTTGCAGAAAAACAGCCCCAAAGCATGATGTTTTCCTCCCCCATGCTTCACAGTAGGAATGGTGTTCTTGAGATGCAACTCTGCATTCTTCTTCCTCCAAACACGAGTTGAGTTTTTACCAAAAAGTTCTATTTTGACCACATGATATTCTCCCAATTCTCTTCTGGATCATCCATATGCTCTCTGGCAAACTTCAGATGGCCCTGGACATGTATTAGGATTAGAGTCCCTCTCGGTGTAGTGTGTTACTTATGGTAGCCTTTGTTACTTTGGTCCCAGCTCTCTGCAGGTCATTCATCAGGTCCCTCCGTGTAGTTCTGGGATTTTTGCTCACCATTCTCATGATCATTTTGACTCCACGGGATGAGATCTTGCGTGGAGCCCCAGATCGAGGCGGATTATCAGGTCTTATTACGTATGTCTTCCATTTTCTTACACCAAGCTGCTTGCCCACTGTATTGATTCTTCCCAGCCTGGTGCAGGTCGACAATTTTCTTCCTAGTATCCTTCGACAGCTCTTTGGTCTTGGCCATGGTTGAGTTTGGAGTGTGACTGTTTGAGGCTGTGGACAGGTGTCTTTTATACAGATAACGTTGACGGTTCAAGGTGCCAATAATACAGGTAACGAGTGGAGGACAGAAGAGCTTCTTAAAGAAGAAGTTACGGGTCTTTGCAGCCAGAAAACTTGCTGGTTTGTGGGTGACCAACTACTTATTTTTAGGCTTGGGTATCGTTTGAAGTTGAACGATTCTGATTCCGATTCCTTGTTTCGATTCCGGTTCCTAACGATTCTCAATTCCGATTCTTTTAAGAGGCAGGGTCAAAAAAAGTTTAGCTAACCTTGCTAACCAACGGTCTTTCGGAAGGAAATAATCCTTTCTGAAGGAAATACTCCTTCTGTCACAAATACTCCTTTTGTCACAAATTTTGCATTTTGCCGAGATTTCGTTATTTTTAGAAAAGTGAAGCCACACTTTGGACCGCCGACGTAAGCTACTCATGTTCGACTCGCGCGGTTATGCCAACACTTCCGGTAGACGCTTCTTCGTTGGTGTTGTTCAGCGGTTTCTTCTTCCGCTCGGCGGACTGTGAATATCGAAACTAGGAAACGAAAAGTTAGTCCCGGTTCCAATCGATACTCGATTCTCGATACCCAACCCTACTTATTTTCCACCATAATTTAAAAATAAATTCTTTACAAATCCTACAATGTGATTTCCTAGATAAGTTCTGTCATTATCAGCATAGTTCGACGAGTCAATGAGCCAAACGGATTCATTAATAAACCAACGTTTTATGACGTTTTTGGGAAACAGTCATGACTAGCTAGTTTATTTCATCAGCTTACTATAGTAGTTAGGCAGTGAGTTACAGCGTTGTATGGAAAACTCACCCCAGTTTGATATATTTAGGAACCGTATGAAACAGAGGAATGAAATGACCAAAATTGGCATGAAACAATTGGGAAACACATAATGAATTTGTTTACTTTGGGTGAGAAATCTTATACTTGCCCAAAATAGCAACGACTTCATCATCCTGGATGACCTCCAGAGACCCTGACACCACAAAGCAGAGGCTGTCGACACTTTCGCCGGCGTGGTAGATGAGGTCTCCCGGGGCGCAGTGGATGGTCTGAAACTCCATGGCTAGGGCTCGCAGACAGCCGTCGCTGGCCAGACGGAAAGCCGGGTGTTCTTTGAACACCTTCCGGTTGAGATGAACGCAGATGTCTGCTCGCATGTCTTTGGGGCAAATCTGCAACACCTGTAGAGAAAAACAATCAAATACCCATCTTTTGCTTCAAGATCCCACACATGAACATTAGCGTTATGCTAAAACAAAAACTGGAGGCTGTCCAAGCCTTTCACTAATAATTCATGAGATTTTGAGAAGCCGTTCAAAGCCTTACGTAACACGCAAGTTAGACTGTGATCTTAAACATTAGAGGGCCATTATTCACACATGCTACGGATGTTATGGCAAAGTCAGAACAAATGACTTTAAAAATGAATGAAGAAAATAAGCTCCCTGGATATAGATCGAGATCTTCTGTCTGCCAGACTCTGTGCCAAGTACCTTATCAGTGTCAATTCCTCTGGACATGGACCATGTGGAGACTATATAGTCCATGACCCTCTCACTGAGGCCCTTAGGAACCTGGTAGAGCTTCAGGAAGTCTCTCACGCTGTTCAACATCTCGTGGTAGCGGTTGGTGTTGGCATACATTTGCTGGAAGATGGTGGTTACATTCCCAAAGATGGTGGCGTAGAGGAGAGCTGAAAGAAAGAGACACTGGGTTAACCTTAACTCTGACCTTAAGAGAGAGCTACAAATAAAGTGGTTTGGTAGATGCTCTTTAGTTTGAGTAGTTTGACTCATTTTTAAGTTTCATTTGCAAACAATTCAATTGGAGTTTACGCCTGTGTCTCAAAATCTATTGAGTACAGTTGGTTATTATCTGCTTTTTACATTACCATGCAAAAATTGGTCCCACTTTATATCAAGTTTCGGTAACACTTTAGAATACGGTTCCTTCGTTAATGAATAACTACACAAGAACTAATGAGTAACACAATATTAACAATCTAGTAACTATTATTAACTAACAAGAAACTCTGATTAACGAACTAGTAAGTAATAGCGCACAGACGAAAGTGGTAGTTCACTATTAAGTAATCAATAACTACTATTTTTTAATACCTCCCAGAGAACTACTGAAAAAGTTTATTATTAACTAAAAGAAACTCTTATTTATGAATTAGTAAGTAATAGCTCACAGATGAAAGTGTTACAAGATACTTCTGTAAGAATTACTAATTATTTGGATTCGTATTATAAAGTGAAGATCATTGGAACTAACTAGTAATGACTCAAGTGTTACTAAAGACATTTTCTAAAAGTATACTAAAGTTCACCAAAAATCTCAAATGTTTGCACAAATCATGACTAGATCATGTAGTAACACTTGAGTCATTACTAGTTAGTTCCAGTGATCTTCACTTCATAATACGAATCCAGTAGCACACGCAAGTTATTCGACACAACACTGTCCATCTTTCCCCACTGTGCTCGGCCTACTGAACAGCTTTTTTTGCCATCAAATGAACGCTCAAGACATTTCAGACTGTAGGCAAGAAAATCGGTAAGCCCCTCCCCTCAAAGGCAGAAAAGCCAATGGCAGTTGAGTATCAGTTGCACGGGGAACTCCGACATCTTTATGTTTCAGCACCATAGAGAAACATGGGAAGATCCGAAGCGCTCATCGGTTTGATGGTGTTTACGCAAAAAAAATGGTAAAACGATGTGCCTGGGGAACTTGTAACACTGATTCCAGGTATCCTGAGAGGAAGGGCAATGGAATCTGTTTTGTTCCATTCCCTAAACCCAAACCAGACAGAGCAAAGTGTCTGGTTTGGATTTAGATGTGTATTAATCCAATGATGTTGGCGGAGTAACTTGGTTCCCCAATGATTCAACTCCAATCCCAATGAAGACGAAAACTTTCATTTTTTGGTTCTCACACTTACAATTAAAGTTAGTGAGTCCATGCTAGCTAACTGTTCACACGTCATGTACACACTGGCCTACAATTCAGTGCCTCTCCATATTAACCTGGTTAAATGTGAATTATTGTTTTTATTTAAAAACTTTCCCTGCAGTCCATGAACAGTCTTGATCCTGCGATCGTGATGACCGTAACGTGACCCGCTTGCACTGTGATCTGTAAACAATCGCTTCCAAATGAATCTTGTTACCCACCATATTTATTTTCAAATATTTTATATACCCCTCCACGGCATATTTAAATCCAACATGAATGCTTCTCGAAGAGAGGTTGTCCTTCTGTGTCCAAAATTGATCAAAAACATCTTGAGGCAAGGATGCACACTGACAGATGTCATTAAATGACAGTTGGCAACTCTGTTTGTTTGTCTGAGTTAGCAACAGTAACTAAGGGGAGGCGGGGCTTACCAATGATGTGCACACTCTTGTGGAGTGTGTGATCTCCACGAATGCCTATTAATGAAGAACATCTCAAATCTGCCAGTTAGGTTGTAATATCGTTTATAGGCAGTTGACATCAAGCCTACACATCCTGGTCAAGGACACACAGCAAGGTTGTGACCTCAGAAACCGGACACTTGCTTGCTCTGCAACCAACTGAACCTCTGACACTAAGGATCTCGACTGCTACAGCTGCTGATGTCGTCTGCAGGTCCATTAGTAGCCTATGTAATATAGGCAACAGTATTGATCACACAGTGCTGGCTCTAAACCAGGGCCCGTATTCATAAAGAATCGTATTGCAAAGAGTCGCTCCTAGTGACAAAAGTCTAAGAAAATTCGTAGAAATGTGGGGCGTTTACTCTTAAAATGAAAGAAAAAATGCTAGTAAAGAAAAAAGTCATTCAGAAAGTCTCTTAACCATTAAAGAGGTCTTAAGGTCAAAGTTGTTGGGAGTACGGACGAGGACTTTTAAAGGGATAGTTCACTTTGACATTAATGTTTGGTATGTTTTATCTTACCTCAAGGGCATCCAAGATCTAGGTGTCTTTTTTTTCACAGTATTTTCAATATTGATATTTTTAGGTCAAACCGTTCTTCTCTGTCAGTCATATAATGGAGGTGTATGGTCACCACCTCAAAGAGCATGCACAGAGAAGTCCAGATTAAACATGACTTAATGACTCGGAAATGTAAGTACACATTGATGGCCTAAGACACGAAACAAGCGGTTTGTGTGAGAAAACGAACAGTATTTATATCGTTTTTACCTTTTGTAATCAGTCACATCCAAGTGATCCGATCTGTGCAAGCACCGGAATTGATCTCTCGCGCATGTACGTCACTCATTGTTTACACAGATTTCAGAAGTGTTATCCTTCACTGTGAAGATCTAAACATATTTAGATATACAGGAAATTGCAAAGGAAGACGATTTCGATAAATCAACAGACAACGTTGATTTTGTTTCACAACCGCGCAAGAGATCACTTCCGGCGCTTTCCGGCGCATGCGCAGACCGAAGTGTCCATGCCCTCAGATCCCTAGGATGTGACTGTGGTTACAAGAGGTAAAAACGATACAAATACTGTTCGTTTTCTCACACAAATCGCTCGTTTCGTGTCTTAGGCCATCAATGTGTATTTACATTTACAAGTCATTAAATCATGTTTAATTTGAGGTGGTGACCATAGACCTCCATTATATGACTGACACAAGAACGGTTTGACCTAAAAATCTCAAAATTGAAAATACTGCGGAAACAAAGACACCTACATCTTGGATGCCCTTGAGGTAAGATAAAACATACCAAAAATTAATTTCAAAGTGAACTATCCCTTTAAGCTAAGACTCCTACGTAAAAGTTTTTAAGCTAAATTACGAGTTTTCTGAGAGGATTCTTAGAGTCTTTATGAATACGGGCCCAGGTGAAGATGAAATGATCAGCCTCAGCATGTCCAGCGATGGAGCAATGCACATATGCTGGAAACGATGTATACAAAAGCCTTACAATTAGAGGGAATCATCTAGATCACGATAAACAGTGTTATTCAATACAAAAAAAGGTTAGCCTTCGCCTGCATCCCACAACTGGTCTTAATGGCCACGCCATGTCGTTCTTGAATATCATTTCACTGCAGACAAACACAGTTTCTGAAACCTCCTTTCCCGCTCCATCAGCATTACGGCTACTTTACAGCCGGGCTTCATTGGATCAGTTTCATTTCATGCAATCGGCTCCCCGGTCAGCGCTTTTTCACCGGCCCGTCACCCTCTGTCGTCCTCCAACGGCTCCCTGCTCCCCAGAGGTCATAATAATCAATCAAAGCTCTGCATGTGCAGAATGAAAACCACCATACGGATCTGGTGAAGTGGAAGATCCCAGTGGGATTTCAGGCAGTGAATGTTATTAGTGATGGGTGTCTACACTGTTCAACGGTAGAAATGAGTGTACAGATCTTGCGGTACCAAGTTATATTTGCACTGCTATCAATGGAAAGACTGCTTTACTGTTGCATGTAAAGAAAGCGAGCATAAAGTAATGCAAAAATACTCTAAATGAGATTGTTATTAAGGGGACACAACATTTTAGTGGTTAACGGTTGCTATGCAATGCCAAATCTTGCTACTATAACCTTACATATTGCTTGGATTCATATCCTATTACAATAACAAAAGAATATGATATATATTGTAATTTAAAAGTGTAATAGAAATAAACAATATATACATAAATTCTGAGTAATTTGCATGTAAATTGAACCTCTCCTCCAGATTCGCAACAGTTGTATCATGTAATCATGTTCATGAATCCTATAACTGTGAGATATGGCGTGCAGAAAGAGTGTGGCTGTGTGTGGACACTGATCAGGCCTGTCAGCGGGACAATAGATGTGTTCGTCACACAGTCTAAAAGAGGACACACACTAATACAGCAGTGATGACAGCACACACACACAGTTCAAAGCCTGTTACAGAGATAACATGAAAATAATAGACAAAGTTTGTTTGCAGAAGAAGATAGCGTCACAGTCCAGTCATTTTAACTGTAAAAAACGTTATTAATTTAGTTCATTTATACATTAAATTCTGGAGAAAACCGTGATGTCATAGTCCAGCTCAGTTCAGTTCTCATATAATGGTGTCAATGCAGGAGATCAATAATATTGTTGAATATTAAGTGTCTCCAACTAAGCAAGACAACAGCCAGAGGCGACATTGGCAGGAACCCAAACTCCATCAGTGTCAGAATGGAGAAATAAACCTCGGGAGAAACCAGACTCAGTCGCTCAGTTCTCCTCTGGCCAACGAACGAACAGTGTGTGATTATGATTTAGGAGCATTACAGGGCAGATGTCAGATTGGATCAGAACATTCAGAATATTATCCAGTTCATCTGGTTGAAGATCGGAGCCGGTATGATTTCACTACATTCCAAATCACGACGTCTTACATTTGAATCCACTACATTTCATAAAACATTATGTTCCTCGTAACTGAAGAAGATTCTCTCCAATGAACTTGTTGAACTGGTTCACAAATCGCATTAAAAGCCATGGTCACAGTTACGCTGAATAGTAGGGCTGGGTAATAAATATCGATTTCTCGATATTAATCGATTCTCATTTTTACAAACCGATATCGATTCTTAAATCTCAAGAATCGATTAGTCATCCTGTTTCATTTGAATGAATGAGACATTGTATCATGGCTGCGCGCATCCAACAAATCGCAATAATCTTTGTCCTTTGTTACTATTGATATGAAACAA